TCTAGGAGCCTTCTCTAGGCGCCCTCGTTGAGACGCACGGCATGCTCGAGGAACCTTCTAGGAACCTTCTAGGAGCCTTCTAGGAGCCTTCTCTAGGCGCCCTCGTTGAGACGCACGGCGTGCTCGAGGCTGGCTCCGTGCTTCCGGCCGGCGGGCTGGTCCCGCGTGGAGAGGCGAGAGGCCGCCGAGATGCGGCCGAGATGCGGCCGAGATCCGCCGAGATGCGGCCGAGATGCCGCCGAGATCCGCCGAGAGGCGGCCGAGAGGCGGCCGAGAGGCGGCCGAGGTGTGGCCGAGAGGCAGCCGAGAGGCAGCCGAGAGGCAGCCGAGAGGTGGCCGAGAGGTGGCCGAGAGGTGGCCGAGAGGTGGCCGAGAGGTGGCCGAGAGGCAGCCGAGAGGTGGCGGTGGAGTGGCCGAGATCGGCGGGCTGGTCCCGCGTGGGGGAGGCGAGACACTTCCTCGAACCGTCCTTGACCTGAGTCCGAACGCTTCCCCCCCCCCCCCTCCCCTCCCCCCCGGGCTGGAGGTGCATGGCGGCAACCCGGCCGCCTTCGTGCGCAAGCTCGAGAAGGACGAGATCGCGGCCATCGAGAAGAAGGCCGAGGACGTGTCGATGAGCGCCAAGAAGCACGCCGACGAGTTCCTCGCCTACTCGAACACCTACCAGCTCCGCGAGCAGCTGGGCACGGCCGCCGGCAAGATCTAGCCGCAGCTCGTGGCGCCCACCTCGCATCACCGCTGCCGGCTTTGGGGCGCCGCCAACGGCTAGATCTTGCTGGGCACAGCATTCTCTCCCCCCTTGGCGCCCTTGGCGGCGCGCCCCACCGCTGCCCGACCCAGTCGCCGCATGTGGAGCGGTGCCCGCTCTTGCGCGCCGCACGACCGGCGCGGGCGCACGCGCCGTCTTCGTCTCTGTCGTCGGTTTTGGTATACAGCCTGGTTGCGGGGCGGTAGGGCACGGGCGGCCGATGCGGCGGCTAACCCTGCTGCGGTGCGTGTTGGCCGCACTTCGGCGCAAAGACCGGCGATAAATCTATTAGCTCGTTTTAGCGGGACGTAGCGCTCCGGGTACGGCTTTACTCTAATCGACCCGCAGTTGCCGGGGCTCCACACAGACACACACCATACTCCACAGCGCCTCCCCACACAGCACACAGCCACACACACTCCACACACGCATCTCTCTGTGCGCGTATAACGTACACGTGCGCAGTCTCTCGGTGGCTCTGCAAACTGAGACTCTCTGGCTCCGCCCTCCGCGATCATGCGTCTCGCAGTGGCGGCGTTTGTCGGCGTGTGGCTGAGGAAGACGGTCGGTAGGCTTCGACCTCAGGCCTGTTCTGCCAGCATTGGCGTTGCGATACTTCCCCACCCCCGCCCCCACCCAGTGGGACTCCCGTGCCTCGCGTCACGCACCTCACTGCCGGGACGCCGCTAGCAGCCATTCGCCACCGCTCAAAATCGTCCCATCAGCCCTTTGCATCCTGAACGTACTCTGTGCTTGTCGTCTCATGCACGTCGCCGCTGCGGAGGGAGGTGGCGCGAACGCTGCGGTTTGGCCGGCGGGATGCACCTCCGTGCGCGTGCTCGACCTCCGGCACGCGGTACGCCGTGGCGCAGCCCGGCACGCGCAGGAGCTTGTAGCGGGGCTGTTCGAAGGGCATATTTTTCTCGACCTTCGACCTGTGTGCCCAGCGCGGCGCCAGCGAGGCCGCGGGAAAAGAATTTTATAAGACGAATCCGCTTGTCGACAGGCGCGCACTTGCCCAAGGGTCTTCTTAAAATCCCTGTATGGTGGCGGCGTGCCGTCCTCCCCTCCCTCCCTTGGGATGCCTGTTTTCTTTCTTTCTTTCTGCCCAAGGGTGGGCGACGGCTAGCGCACGACACCCCTCTTCTTAAAATCCCTGTGTGGTGGCGGCGTGCCGTCCTCCCATCCCTCCCTAGGATTGCCTGTTTTCTTTCTTTCTTTTGCACTAACACCCATT